ATTTCCCGGTATCCCGGTGGGCCAGTCCAGCCCTGTTGTTAACCTTGCACAATATAATGTTCAGTGTGACCCCATCAATCTGCGTGTTGTCGCTGACTTAGCATTTTATTCAGATCACTAACATGCCGTATCTCTCAGAATAGGCAATAATTCAGGGTACAGATTTGTAAAGATCTATACTCATTTACTTACTGAGAAAGCTATTCCTGTGATACATTAAAATGCAGGTAATAATCTTAACTAGTAGTTTGTGTGAGATTATTTTTCAATTTCTAATTCCTCCTTATGCTTTTTACTTTGTCTCTGGGTGTGCTATCTAGAAATTCCAGAGCATTAGCCATCGACTATGATATAATAAATGTTATAACATGACAGGAGGTTTCGTATTTGCTTAAGTCTCTCTTTACTAGAACTCCACAGCAGCACAGAAAAAAAATCAATCAGAAAAAAGTTAGGTACTATAAAACGTCCCTCCCCATTGCATCATTTCCTCTTTCTTTGCTGCTCCGCAATCAGTGCCTCCTGCTTCTAGTTGGTGGCTTTGGGATTTTATTGCTTATATACAGTTTTTTAGTCTTATACATGCAGTATTGTTATAATCCTTGTGGGATTTTATTCTTAAAGGACCACTATAGTGCCAGGAAAACATACTGGTTTTCCTGGCACTATAGTGCCCTGAGGGTGCCCCCACCCTCAGGGATCCCCTCCCGCCAGGCTCTGGGGTGAGGAAGGGGTTAAACTTACTTCTTTCTCCAGTGCTGGGCGGGGAGCTCTTGTCCTCCTCTCCGCCTCCTCTCCTCCTCTTCGGCTGAATGCGCATGCGCAGCAGGAGCCGCGCGCGCATTCAGCCAGTCCATACGAAAGCATTCACAATGCTTTCCTATGGACGCTGGCGTCTTCTAACTGTGAAAATCACAGTCAGAAGCGCCTCTAGCGGCTGTCAATAAGACAGCCACTAGAGGCTTTAGAGGCTGGATTAACCCATCTATAAACATAGCAGTTTCTCTGAAACTGCTATGTTTATATAAAAAAGGGTTAAACCTAGCTGGACCAGGCACAAAGACCACTTCATTAAGTTGAAGTGGTCTGGGTGCCTATAGTGGTCCTTTAATGCTCTATTGTTAGATTCCTGTGCCGCATCTCTCAGAATAATAATTCAGGGTAGATAGTAAAGATTTACCTACTAAGATAAACTATTTCTGTTATAAAACAAAATGCAGGTAATAAACAAAACTAGTAGTTTGCATGAAATCACTTTCCTATTTTTAACTCAGTTTACAGGAAATACAGTGAGTAATTCTTTCTTATCATATACGTGGTTTACTCTGCCTCTGGGTGTGATTTGACCAACCTGAGATCTATAAATTCCAGAGCTTTAGCACTTGACTGTGATATGAGAAATTATACACCACAAACAGTCAATCATACATTAGACATGGCATCAAATGGGGATTTGGATCTAACTGAAATTAGAGGCTTGCGTGGATCACCTGGATATTTCAAAAAGGGAAAATTGTTATCTATAGATGAGGTGTCTGCGTGTTTGGAATTCAAGGAACATTTAAATGACGCACGTGAGAACATGAAATTTTACATTAGCAATGTGAAGACAGATCAGTTCTTTAAACTGAATATAGAGTTTCCAATCACTAAACTGCGCCATGTAACCACAGAAGATTGCATGCGCTGTATTGTACAGGAGCAATACATAGGAATAGGAAACAATATAAAGCCTGAACCATTGAAAGACCTTTCCTGTTGGAGTGCAGAATTTCCTCCGAAAGAAGAGCTTCCTTATGAGCAGGCTTTTGAGAAGGTACAACGTATTGTGCCAACATGGGATGCAGAGCCTTTCCAAGAAGAAATAAAAGATCAGTTTGCGTCCTCCCCAGCATTCGATAATTCTTCCTCTCGTTATGGAAACTTTGTGTTCTCCTTCCCACTGTCTGACCTGCTCAAGGCCTACAAATCCCAGCACTGCCAGAATGGAGACCCTCAGCTCAAGGTCCTGGGTACTGCGATGTACAGTCAGGAGATTGCTCACATGGTTATTGTCCACAGTCCTGATACTGACCGGTACGATAAACTCCCAATGGTGCAAACTGTTTCCAGCACTGCCGAGTCCCTGCCTTTTTTCTACAGGAAAGAGGAAGATGGGGAACTGTACTGGAGACCAGAATCGACCTCAGGGGGTTTGAGGGTGACGATTTCTGAAGGAGGTGAGATTTACACGTGCCCCTTGAATAAAACACGTACGGGGAAATTTTGTGTGTGGAACCATCTCATTGTAGCTTTTCACCTACCTGATAGTAAGTACCTTGTGATCCCTGAAAAGCAGCTTCTGGAGAATCTGTCTGCCTGTGAGCCTGCAATGCCCTATCTGAAAGATCCACGTACAAACTTATCTAAGGCTGAAGCAGAAGAAATCATAAAAGAACTGAAGAACAGCCAGTAAAGAATGAAGTGACTCTCTTGTGCCATAATGTGTACTGTAAAACAGTGTTCCCCAACCCAGATCCTCCCGGACCACCAACGGTCCAGGATTTATGTATTTCCCTTTTTTTATTCCAATGGAGATGCTGACAAAACCTGGACTGTTGGTGGTCCATGAGGACTGGGTTGGGGACCACTGCTGTAAAGTTTACCATGTGCTACGTATATACAGTCACACATAGAATTACTGTCGCTGTTATTAATATAATGCACGCCTCCAAGCTAGCATTCTCTCTAAGAATATTATTATGATACTTATCGAGAAAGGAATTTAACCTGAAGGTTGTTTGGAATTGCTTTAGCAGGGTGAGATACGTTGTTCAATGTCTCTGCATTGTGAAACACTCTTGGAGGGAATATCAAGCCAAATTTAGTGTGCTTTTTAAACTAGGATTAGACATTCTCAGCTTTAGAAGATACAAAAATATATAATTCATTAATACATTCATTCAATCATTGCATTCAGTTTTATTATATAACATAATATCCCCACTAGATACGCAAAATCACAAAACCTACTAAAAGGTGTGTCCTCAGTACATCGAGAATAAGTGAAACAAATAAAGAAGAGTAGGTGTGAACAATATATAAAAAAGCAATACCACCAAGGTATCAACACTAGGACAATGGCCAGATGAATCTATAGGGAAGAACAAACTGAAAAAAGTGTAATCATGTAACAAATATGTAGACATGCAACGATAATGCTAAAAACTCACAAAAGTTCAGAAATATTCAGGCTCATCATCTTCCCATATTGGTGTGATAGACATAAGTGTTCCAATTAGCTAGAGGTCTTCTTGTGCTTAAAAATAGCAAACAACATGCAGATAGTGCAGATGGTAATATTCACAATAGATTTATTGAAAATGCACTTACAAGATAGTAGATAAAATAAAGCATCTCTCCATATTATGGAGAGATGCTTTATTTTATCTACTATCTTGTAAGTGCATTTTCAATAAATCTATTGGATACCACTCAATAGATGGGTGAAGCTTCAGAGTGAACACAAATCTTAGAGATGATAGAACCTATAAAAGAGGTATATAACTTGAATAAAAACAAACAGAAAAAAAAACGGTATACAAAAATTCCTTGAAGGGTGTAAATCCGACGCGTTTCATCTTCTAGACTTCCTCAGGGATGAGAAACATGCTACGTAAATTTCTCATTTAAGGCCAGAGTAGGCGAACTGAAAGTGTAGCTGACTTAGAGAATTTTTCCAGTTTGTTTAATTTTATCTTAAATTTGAAATTCACTTTGAATTCACACTTTGATTACTCTTCAAATGAAGATAAAACAATTGTCTGACATTAGAGGTGAATATCGTTTTCCCAGTTTGAGCACAGTGGAGGCCAGACCAAGTTTAAGCAATCTGCTATTTATTAAATTAAAAGTGATGTGACTGACATGTAATACGGTGTGAGCACTGCATTCCGTAAATCGTGGCTCTGTTTATTGATTTGGGAACCACGAGCACACTGGATTCTTTGTGGATTTTCAATTTCTGAGTTAAAGAAATGTCACAGGAGTCGATTACCGCAGCTTCCAAACAATGTGACACAATGAGCACAGATTGATCCAACTATGTGTCTTTACTGTGTTTGGTGCATTGCAACTGCTAAAGGAGGTAGAGAGAGACCGAATAAGATTGTTTGTACCAGCAGAACGAGTAATAACGTAAAATGTATATGGTAAAAACACTAATAAATAAAAGAAATAACAGAGGGAAAAATAATCGTAGGATTCACGTTTTACATCTCAGAAACATTTTAAAATGTTTGTATGGTTATACATTTGAGTAAAAATAGGTTAATTTGAGCTACCAGGTCAGTCAGCTTCGAGAATCTCCTCTATTACTCTGAGAATCAGCATTGCCTTGTATGATAAAACAAATATTTCTTATATCACAGAGTATGTTTTGTTTTCTTAATTAAACTTATACTCATATAACGTTAATTTGGATTATTACCTATAGTGGAATTACTGGATCATTATGTGATTATGCAGAAACAACATATTCATTGATTATAGGATAATTAGAATAATCAGCTTACTTAGTGTAATGTATTAGTATTAATCAATACCTAGTCTATATCAGGGATCTCATCTATAAGCTATTCAGAACTTCCACTTGCTCTCTATGAATGGACTGAATAAATGATTGGCATTGGGAGGTTACTTACTTTTCTGATATGCATATTTTATTAATTACATTGCTTTATGGGTTTTTAACATTTGTTTATTTTTAATAAATATATTAAAAGCTTTATATACAAATTTTCTTACTGTATTTTTCTGAAAATATTATGTAGATGCTTACACTTGTTTTCATAACAGAATGGATCTTTTTTTTACCAATAACTGCCTTTGTTTGCTCCTCAATATTCTGCAGAACTATATATACCTACAAATGAAATTATGTACCTCATGAAGAATCATCATTACTTGCTCTCTTTGTTCAGACAAGGCTAAGAAATTAACGTCCTCAACTCATTAGTTGCTTAATGAATGAGACTTGTACTTACTTGGTGTGACAAAGCTCCTGTACTCTGCCCAAGTACCTTCGCCCAGTCTGCTTCCTATTCGCTTGCTGGGACCCTGGAACGCTTCAGACCGCAGTCCCCGAGGCTTGACTGAGGTCCCTCTGCAGCTTTTCCAACCAACCCAGCTGCAGTTCTCCTTCCAGGCTGTTATTGTCCCCTCTGCCTATTCCGCTGCTGCTCTCTCCTTCCAGGCAGGTATTGTCCCCTTGCCTATCCTGCAGCAGCGCTTTTTCCAGGTAGGTATCCGGAATACTGTCTATTGCGACTCTCGGTCCTAGCTCTCCTGATTTATCCCAAGGCTAAAGGGATTGTGCAGCCAGCCAACAGGTCTTAAGGCTGTCACTGGGATCCCTAAAAATACATACAGGACACCCAGTTCCAAATGGAACTAACATACAATACTTTATTTTAACTCGGGACTAGCCCATACGTGTGTGTCACTGCGTTTGTCTGTAGGCAGCATGTGTGTCATTGTGCTTGACTGTTGTATGCATGTGTATGTGTAAGTGAGCCTGGTCTGCCTTAGCCATGCTAACTGCCAGGTAGGTGGGAAAAAAATCCACTAAATAATAGAAGGCATTATGACAAGGGTTTGGGGAGTGGGTTGAAAAGACAAGAAGGGGCGGAGAAAGGCAAAATTGGGATTAAGACACAGATAGAGATAGATGAAGAGGGAATCACAAATGTGGAGAAATAGGAAGACCTAAGTAGGGAGCTATGAAGAGAGAGACACAAGTAGTGATTTGCTATTGAGGAGCCCAAGGACCAGTGTCCTCCTACACACTGCCTGCTTCATATGTCCCCTTGTAAAACTATACAGTGATTGAATTGTTTTTAATATATTGCTGAATATTGAATATATATTGCTCCTGAAATCTTTTTTATTTTTATTTTATTTGGATATTTGTTATAAAACCTGTTTTGCGTTATTAATATGAGCACTATATATATATATATAGTTAATATTCTTCGGTTATAGAAACAATATCTGTGGTGCATCCAGCAGGGTTCAATGCTTGACTTATGTATTTTCGACACATCATAAATCATTGGTTTAACATAGTTGTGATTGATAATAAACCTTTTGTTTTATCTTTTCTTATAGTGGGTCAACATCGCCCAGTTGTCTCAGGACTTCTTCCTTATACTTTAGAAAATTGGGCAAACTAGATGGGCCCTATGGTTCTTATCTGTCATCACAGTCTATGTTTCTATCTGTTACCATTAAGGCTTCACTACATGAGGTTTAGTGAACAGATGCCACAGGTCAGAAGATGATGGGTACATAATTCAAGGGTGGAGTCAACTTCAGGGGGAGGAATCTGGCTCTCCAACATCCCAATCCAGTTTGGAAGCACCCAGTTACAGGACACAAAAGAATGAATCATGCTGTGGGGAATGAATGGGGGTCAGATTATTTTACATTATTTAGATTATTTATTTACCAATGTAATTAACCCCAACCACCCCTCAGCAGAAATAGTGGTTAGATCTTTAATAGCCTTATCACCGGTAGAACAGGAGAATAGACATAGGCGTGCGCAGCCTATTGCATTAGGGTGTGCACCCTAAAGCACAAACATACGCCGCGTGTGTGTGTGTATATATATATATATACACATATATATATATATATATATATATATATATATATATATATATATACATATATATATATTTCACACAGACACACACACACTCACACACACTGACACACACATACTCACACACTTACAGACACACACTGACACACACACACACACACACTCACTGACACACACACTGACACATACTCACACACTCACTGACACACACACTCACAGACACATACTCACACACTCACACTGACACACACTCACAGACACACACAGACACATACTCACACACTCACTGACACACACACTCACAGACACATACTCACACATTTACACACAATCACAGACACACACTCACAGACACACACTGACACACACACACTCACAGACACATACTCACATACTCACACACTCACTGACACACACAGACACACACACACACACACACTCACAGACACACACACACATACTCACACACTCACTGACACACACTCACACTCACAGACACACACACTCACAGACACACACACACACACACTGACACATACTCACACACACACTGACACACACACACACAAATTATTATATTAAAAAATTTTTTTTTAAATGTCCACCCAGCCTCCTACCTGGAGTGCTGGTGGACTTTTCCCTGGGGTCCAGTGGGGGCGGGCGCCTCTCTGCAGCTCAGCGCGCGGCGAGGGAGCTCTCTGACGTCATATTCCGGCTCCCGGCATCAGTGGCTGAGCTGCAGGGTGGGGGGGGGGAATCATCACCTCTTGCCCTCCCATGACAGGGGCAAGAGGTGAAACAGGGGACACTGAGTGCCTGCAGGAACAGCGTTCCTGCTCAAAAAAAGTGCAGGAACGCTGTTCCTGCAGGACTCAAACCATAGGCGTGCGCACGGGGATTAGGGTGTGCCCAGGCACACCCGGCACACCCCGTGCGCACGCCTATGAGAATAGATCTAACCACTATTTCTGCTGAGGGATGGTTGGGGTTAATTACATTGCTTTTCATGCTATGGACTTGTTTAAGGGTAAGGGGAGCCCACGAAGGCACTATAGAGAAAGTAATTGTTTTCATATTTCCTCACACAGGAATCAAAATGGATCCATGTTCTTAAAACACTTGCCCTTAGGGGCCTAAATTAAGAGTTTAATTTTACTCCTTTTATTCATAGATAGGAGTCATTCATCACCTCCCTCTTTCCTTTAATATTATATATTAGTTCTGTCACATTTGTGGAACCATTTCTATATTTTTATTAGAGCCACAGTGAAATACGCGCTCATCTATTTTTTTTTTTAATCAATTGTACTTTATTGAAGTTTTCAAAAATATAAATCCAGTAAACATATATTCCGGGTTACAATGAATTCCTAATGTATTCCATTGACAGTTGAGCTGCATTTACAATGTAACATTTGGGGATATTCACTATGTTTGAACCATGTTTGTGTAGAATTTATCGAACATAACAAAGGTATATACAAAAACAGGTGTGTAGGCGAGACCAAAAATGTAGTACTAAACAGTTCCCTTTACTCCATGCCGCAGTTGAAGTTGCATAGCACCCCTCACATGGTTCTAGGCTTTTTACGATGCTATCCAAGAAAATTCCCCTCTTTGTACCACATCTCCCACCCCTCCCAAGTCTCCCTGAATTTTGCGGTGTCTTTTATGGTATCTGTGGACATTTTCTCATATATGTAAAATTGCTGCATTTTGTCTTTCAGTTGTTGTGCAGACGGGCAACTATGCTTTTTCCAGTTTACCGCTATCAGATTGCGTGCGGCCATTAAAATTAGCAGTAGCAGTTGTTTCTGGTTCTCGTGTGTCTCTTTGGGGAAGAATAGGAGGAGACAGGTCTTAATGTTCATGGGGAAGTCTCTGATTCCCAGGACATCTAGTATATCTTTAATATCTCTCCACAAAGGTTGTATACCACTGCAATGCCACCAGACGTGTGGTAGTGTACCTATTTCCGCAGCGCACCTCCAGCATTCGGCCAGCACCACAGGGGCGCTCATCTATTTTAATAATATGGACTTACAGTGTGCTACACTTAACATTAAATGATCTAGCTTCACCTAGGCATCTGTATCCTGGCCCTTTACCACCTAAACATGAGCGGTACTGAACCTGAAAACATCAATCAATATGGGAAAAATTCATCTCCCCTTATTTTTGAGTAACTTTAGGGCCACTTATTAATTTATTAAACAATTATTGAAGTATAAAAAATCATTGTAAATATTAAGTGCACCATCTTGAGTCCATGAATAAGGAATTTAGGAATAAACTAATTAGCTTGTGTAGTAGGTGTATATTAGCAGTAAATGTATTTGAGGATTGTTCACATAATTATCCAGAATCTGCATATATATATATATATATATATTAGAATTGAGAGCACTGTGTTGCAATTTTATAATACAATCAATGGTTACTTACCATATGTAGACAATAGCAACAAGGCAAGTTCCTATAGAAATTTAATTCACAACATCAGTAAAATATATATTTGTATCCTTCACTTTTGTTATTATTCCCCAAAACTATTTGAAAACAATGAAGTCCCTGTTCACTTTATTGAAAGCAAGGGCACATCAACATTAAGGGTTAAAACCCTCTCAAAGCTGCAACCTGTAAACACGAGTGTCATCGTGCTGCTTAACACAACTCAATATTAGATCCGCTATATCTGGGAATCTGTTGAAAAAGGCATTAACCCTTTATTCAGAGTATTCCTTTTTTACATCAATATATGCCATGTTGTATGGGCAGTGCTTGCGAGAAATGTAGATCCCCAGCTACCAGTAACCGCTGATCTCATACAGCATCACTCACTCTAGATATCATACAAGCGAGCACTAGCTATTTTACTTTATTGGTATATAATTGTGGTACAGCTATTCTTCGTTACATTTTGAACAAATTGCTAGTTTTACATATCTCTGAGAGCAAGTTCTACCATCAATTGCTTCAGTAACTACATGTAAAACGCTGGTTGGATACTATAATCCACTTAGGCTATTTATACACACAATTTGAATGAATTGTTACTATGATACATCCCAGTTATCTC